GAAAATGGCAGCAGTGACTGTCGAAATATTGTGAAAATAAATCTGTGATTTGAATGAATCATGATCTTCTCAGCAGTTCTCTACTTCATTTCATTATTTAATCTTACTGCTCCTCGCTCTTCATTTTCAAGAAATTTTTTGTTGCTCTGCCCTAAATATAGGCAGGACAATATGGCGGCCCTGTCCTACGATGGTCTCTGGTATGTAGTCAATTTGTGATCAAAAGCAGAACATGAATGTTGTGATTGCAAACGGATCTTTGACATATTGGACAGAGTTACTTTGTCGAAAACATTCGAAGACATCTTTTTCGTTTTGGCACTTTCTTGAAACTTTTGCTTTAACTATACATCTATGAATAGGTATGCACCAGTTGTCTTAAATACCGGCTAAGCCGTTCGGTTGTTCCGCTTGTACAATCAGTGCATATCCATCCATGAAAAAACAACATAATTCCATAATTTTAACTGATTCTCCAAAAGTCCTTTCAAAAAACTAAAGTCCTAACGGTTCTGAAATGCATTTTTCTATGACAATACGCCCTTGGATCTTTTCTGTCTAATGGCGAAACTGCCGTTCAGTATTTATGTTCGATCGAACGTTATTCAAAAAATAGTGGTGTTGGTTCTAGCTTCGCCAAAATAAAAAAGATTCTCAAGACGTTATCACATTTCTTTTTTAAGTTTTTAAACTAATCTGTGACTGCCATTATAATAATATAACACTTTTGTATTTAGCTTGTGACTAGTAAGTGATCAAAACCATGTAGCCACGACCCTTTTATAATGTTGATAACGGAAATTTCCTATATTCACTCTAATGTGTGTAAAAAAACAGTTTTTGTAGGAACGAATTCACTCATTTTGCAAATGAGGAAAACCACAATTGAGTAATAACATACTATTACTTTTACTCTCTATGTTCTTTTATTTTATTCATTTCAAACATCTCTGATTAACCTTAAATTAATCATTTGTGATTTTAGCAAAACTTTCGATTCTCCGTCAAAAATCACCTGTGTGGGACCATAGGCGAATTTTTAGTTTTTTAACCTGAGGGCAACCTCATCTGAGTTTTTGATGAAGAAACGAAAGTTTTGCTACAATCACGAATGATTAATTTAAGATTAATCAGAGATGTTTGAAATGAATAAAATAAAAGAACATAGAGAGTAAAAGTAATAGTATGTTATTACTCAATTGTCGCTTTGATATCACCTTTATTTTGATAAAAGTAAAGGTTATTGGTTTCTGATATCACCTTTATTTTGCTTTGAAAACGATTCTTGATGGTAAAAATTTGCATTTATTCCCAAAATTATACTGATTTGAGTTATGTTGAACTTATTGCCTCGATTTCACCATGATTTCAAACTTTTAACTCAACTATTTACACATATTCTTGTAGCTCTTTCCATGGGGTATTCATTACACTAGGAATGGTTTATGAGTAAAGCTTGAATGGTAGAGAAAAAAGCGAAATACCGTGACAGATAATCCTAAAAACTTAGATCCGAAGTGATTTTTTGATAAAAAGTAACGGTTATTTTTACTTTCAAGCATTCTTTCGCACATATTCTTGATCAGCTCGTCGAGCTCTATCGATTGGTATATTTGAAAAATAGTTGCATTCCGATTTCCTGTCAAAATAAATTATTAATGACAATTTAAGCATCAAAAACATTGGTAGTTTATTATAATTTCTTTTTCCAACAAAATGCATTTCGAAGCTCCGAAAACTACAGAAAACTGCATAGAATTGAATTCTCTGTCGATCTACATCGAAATTAAAACATTTTGAGAAGGGACCGATTTCTACGGGATTTTGGACCCTGTCCACTGGGGGTACTATAACCAAGAGTATGAATTTATGAACTAAAGATGATTTCAAAAAAAGTTTGACAAATGGCTTGACCGAATGTAACTGTGTGGGGATAATCATGGCCACTAGTTCGAATATTTGCGGAAGTAAAAAGTTGATTAACTCTTTTCTATGAATTTTTATCTGGAAATCTGGGAAGTTTTGGTATGCCCTAAGTATTTAAGATGTGATTTGAAATTGTTCTATAGTTCGCTGATGATTTCAAATGAGAATTTTATGAATGTTCATTATGAGTAAAAGTCAAAATACGTGATAAAGTGTGATTTGTATAACAAACAAGGATAGTTTACAGTTATGTGGACAATTTAAAGTAGATTTTTTTCTATTTTAATTTGATATAAATAAAAATGTGCAAAATTGTATTTTTTTCCATACCGAGTTTGTCCTTGTTTTAGTTTCTAAAATTATGAGATCATTCCTTAACTAAAACTGTATCAAAAACAATCGAAAAAGATAAAATTGTCAAGATATATACAAACAAAATGCTAAAAACTAAACTCTGTGAAAAAATTAGAATCTTGCAATTGGTGCTATTGGTATATTATAGGTGTTAGCTGTGATATAAGCATTAGCTCGTCTCAATGAACTAGTCCTTTTTAGTAGATCGATTAATTCTGGATCGCATAATTTTTCTTCAGGCATAGCTGAACTACGTATCATTTCTAATACAGGTGTTTTTCGTAATCGAGAATCGAGCGTTATACCAATATCTAATTTTGGACTTCTTGCACCGTCACGTTGAATAGCACTGGAACGATGATGCGTAGTGACTTCGATCGGTATCTGTCGTTCTTGTTGTACAAAATTGATACATGATGATGGACGATTTACTCTCTGTTCATTATCATGTTCTTCTTCATTTTCGTCATCCGTCTGATTTTCGTTACAATCAAATGTAACAGATTTTGAACGTTTCCTGGATGTATTAATATTTGTATCACATTTATGAACATCGAGTGATGTTGTTACACTACGCCGATGTAAAATACTTTTTGGTTTTCGATTTGTTGTCGATTCTATTAGTGGAGCGGATAATGGACGGACCGGTGAGCATTCATTGTTAGGTGTTTCGAATTGAGCTATTAACGCTTTGACATTAATTGAATTTGTTCGTTGAGTGTCATTGTTCAATAATCGACGTTGAGAAACAGCATTCACGTTCCATTTATTTTTTTCTTGAATTTTTGGCAATACTAATGGAGGAGTTGTAGGGGTCGAAGTGGCTTGCCTTTCTCTATTTTTTTTCTGTAAAAACGCATTCAAATAGCCTAATGGCTCTTCAACATCTTCTACATTAACATAATCTCGTCTATTATCGATATTAAGACAATAATTGCTACTTCGAGGAGAATCAACTTCATACGAAACATCAAATGTTTGATCATACCACTGTGGTTGCAAAGTTTCTTCTTGCCACGGTCGAAGACATGTACTTTTCGAAATGTGTAATGGTGTTGACGTTTGAGCCGGTTGTCCGATATAATCATGTTCTACTAATCGTATATGTTGTTGATGATTATTATATTGTTTTGATAAAGGTTGTTGTTCGATCGTACTCATCGATGAATAATATCTATTAGTTGATGACTTGTTTGAGTCAAATAAATTTAGATTTGTTAATAAACGTGGTTCACTTTCATATAGCGTTGACTTGTTCTGAGATTTTCCAAAGACTTAAAAACAAAAATAGACTTGTTTAGGCGTATATTAAACCTGTATCGTGAGTCATGTGAAAAATTCTGCAACTTTTTACTCCTACGCTTACCTCGTTCTCTACTTTTGTCGATATTTACTCGCTGTTGTCTATATTCATGACCAGCGTTTTCAAAAACATTTCTATTTGTAATTGGTACATGTTTTATTGTTGTTGTTGATTGTCGTCCATTTAAAACATATTGAATTGGTTGAACAGCTTCAGGAACAGTTGTTGTTTGCAAAGTTGCCAATTCATTGGATGATATAGAACTCCATCTACCAGAATCATGACTTGATTGACTTGAATGGCTGTGTATATCTTGATCTTGTGGTACTGTGCCATTTATTTTTGTTGTTACTGTTGGTGGAATGGATAATTGCTGTCTTGGATATGGATGATATCCTTGAGGTACAATAGAACTAAACAAGTTCAATTGTGGATCACTCTCTCCAACCCCACTATCATTTGTACAAATTTCCTGAGGATGTTTTGCTGTTCGTTGTGATTGTTCATGTACGAACACTGTTGTTTGCTCATTACGCACGAGATGGAGATGTAACAAGTTTCCATCTAGAATAAAAAAATTTCAATGTATTTTTATCACTAATTCTTTCTAGAATATCATCTGTTGCAAAAATAAATAATGACATTTTTTTTTTACCTGGATCATGTATACAATATTCATATTTATTTAAATAAAATAATTTACTACTATATTCTGTTTGTAATTGTGTACTTAATGTTTTTAAACAAAATTTTAAGTGTGCTGTTTGTGATAAACAATAAGATTTAATGGATGGTGAATATTTAATGGAAAATTGTACAATTTTCGTTTGTGAATGTTGTAGAATATAGAGAACAAAACCGGGCTTTGTTGATTCGGGTTTATGTTGAAATAATGAAGAATAAAATTTTACCATTAAATCAAACTGTAGTGTGAATATATTAAAACGAATGATTGGAAGACGACTCAATGGTACATGTGATACCGACCATAATGGCAAATGCTTTGATAATTCATAATAATCTTGTCGAGCAATTGTCGATTTAAATTCATCTAATAGTTCAATTTTATGATGAAAATTCCATATTGATGATTTAAAAAAATATTTTGATTTTGGTAATTTACCATTGTTACCATTGACATTTGTATTAACCGATGATAAAGATGAGACAAGTTGTTGACGTTTGAGAATATCATCAGTTATTAATAAAACACAACTTAATGATTGAGATGGAATTTGTTGTAGATCATCGATTGATGAATTAGAAGACGAGGATGTTGTCGTTGGTGTTGTAAATGAGCCAAAATACGATGTTGGTTGAGTCTGACGTTCGATAAGAAAAAAATTATTTTCACTTATTGAACAAGAACGTAGTAAATTCGTTAATGCACTTGATATTTCATCTGCTTCATTACATCCAACTTTTAAGACAAGTTCACATGGACATTGACACTTAGACATTTATTTCTAAATGATAAAAATAAAAATTTTTTTTCTTGAACAATTTTAGAGAAAATAAAACAACAACTTTTAGTTTTTAAAGGAATTGAAAAGTGTAATGGGCATATTCTCTTTTTTTATTATAATTATCATCCCATATATTTTGATTAGTTTCATTGTACATTTTTACAAACAATGTTATCACTGTTCATCTTTATGAACAACAAGAAACGATAGAGAGTCATTTATCATACTTAGATACATGATATACATACACACACAATAGAGAGAGAGAGAGATAGAAGAGGAAACAAAAGAAGGATATATTTAAGTAACTAAACACAAATTATTGTGCTAAAAAATGTGTTAAAAGGGATGTTCCCTTCTTATATACAATGTATATTTGAGCGCAAAACTAGTATGACTGTATTATCTCTAGTAATAGTCTAAATTTCGATTTAATATGTATATCTGGAGTATTTTTGTACTCGCTATTGTTCAATAAAGAACAATATTTTTCTTTTTAAGGAAATAGTTTAATAATAAAGTTTTTAAAACATGTCACAGTTCAAATTATTGCTTACATGTCGGTTTTGAAGAATAAATCTGATTAAACTAATTTTATTTCTAAGAAATGAAATCTTACTCTCGCTGAACTTACGTAAGTTTTTTCTCTCCTTTTTTTTCTTCTTCTGAAGACTGTTCAATGTCTAACAACAGGCATTATTATATATATACACCTCCGAAATACAAAAAAAAAAAGATTTTTCATTTTCTTTTAATGTTCATTGTACAATTTTCAACAATTGTGAACACATATAGAAACAGAAAAGAATCTACTCATGAAAAAGAAGCCAGACTGTAAAAAAACAAAAGAGAATAAGTAATAATATATATATGAAAAATAAAGAAAAACAGGTAATCATCATCATCATCACCATCATCATCTCTCTACCATTATGAGTAAACTCTCACCAAAACATGTGTAATGTCTGTGATTGAGCATGTGTAGTGTATATGATGATTGAACATAAGGATTCATTTTCTCTCTCTCTCTCTCTTACCAGAATATGTATGTTATACGTATATATATATATATATTTAATTTCATAAAAGGTCGGTCAGTTACATCGATATTTTTACGTTTGATCAATAATCGTAACACAACATATGAATGAAAAACTCTCTCTTGTTCTGCCTCCGTGTGTATGTGTGTGTGTGTGTATTGTATATGTCTTTTGGTATGCGAATACACACCGAACAACTAACATCAATTGGACAAATAAATAAATCTTGATAAATTTATACGCTTTTTTTTCATTTCTATTGTCAACTGAAAAAAAATGCTTGAAAAAAAAAAAAGAAGAAATCACTTTTTTATGTCTTGTAGAATCTAAAAGTGAAAAAGTAAAGTGAAAAACATAAAACAATCTAACAATTTCGAACTATAACGAAATAATGACGGAACAACTACAAGAATACGAGACGAGATATATGTATGTGTATAGAACAAAGAAAAATGTGTACAATTAACAGAAAAGAAAATTTCCCTAATACATTGTTAAAACATGCAATAATTTATTTTTAACTAGATATGGTTTTCATTAGACATATTGCATGTTTATAATGAAAAAAAGAGTTAGATTTTTTTTTTTGTTTTTGGTGTATACGTGAGTGTGAAAAACTAAATCCTAATTTAATATATCAATTCTCATTAACATGAATAACTTTGAAGAATAACAATAATTTTAGTGTGATTAAACAAGACACTTTTTTTAAATTTTATGAACGAATCAATTATAGAACGAGATTCGAGTGTATAAAAAATAAAAAATTTCACTAAACTATTAAATCTACCGATCATTTTCAAAAGAAGTTACTATAATGCTGTCAAATTGTTTGCATAACCTCCGTCTGAGTGATTAGTTCAAAGAAAACGTATTAGTGCAAATGAAGAAAGAATCATCGCGTATTCAAAAGTTTAAATCAATTAATATATACAGATATCGATTAAAATAAGATTGACAACATTGAAAGAATTTCGATATTTTTTATTGGAATACGATACTAAAGTATTTGATATAAAATATCTAGCTTATACTACATACTTTTAAATAACAAAAATTCCTATCACACTATTTTTGTCGCAAATAGACTAACTCTATTTAAATAATCATGTAAATAACTGTTCGTAGTCATTATTGTTCAGGAAGTGTCAATAAATTCTTGGTTAATTATAATATAAAATTCTTTTTTTGTAAAATACAATATGAAAAGAGAAAGAGAAAGAAAGAAAAGAAATGTTGAACTATGTAAAATTAATTAGTGAATAATATGTTGTTCATCATTGTAATACACACACACACATATATACAATGATTACACTACTAACAATGTTCAATCGAATCATTTAATCAATTATTAAGCAAACATACTTTTATCTGATGCGTAAGTGGTGGTACCATTCGGGTATATTTACTCATTATACATATGTATTTACAACCTTTAAAAAATATCTGTGAACCATTGTGTTTATTGATGACTTTGTTCTAAAAATTTTTAACACATTTTTGTCTCCACCTTTCAATTATTAAAATAACAGTATTAAACTATTTTTAAGACATTTATTTTACATCATACAATATCATGACTCATTATCTCGTATATCGTGTCAATATAAAAAAAAAGAAGAAAATGGATGAACATTTTTTTGAACATTTAATTAATTTTTACTTTAACTAATAAACACGAATTATCCAATGTTCAAGGAAATCTATTTAAAAAAAAAAATGTAAATTTTCTTTAATCTTTAAATATTCGAGCAAAAGAGAACAAAAAAGTTTATCCCATTATATTCTCACGGGCAAAATCATCATTTTGAATAGAAAAAATTGTTCATGTCAACTATATTATATCTTGTTCAGCGATCGAAGTCATTTCATTCTGAACTCTCACACTACGCTTGAAATACAAGTGTAGTCTAGTAAGACGACTACAATGAATGTTGACAATAATTTGAAAATTTCTCTTTTTCATGACATCCTTTTTTTTTTCATGAAAAAAAACAACATATATATATATATTCGTTATTTACTTACAATCACTGCAATCCATTGTTTCTATTGGAATAAATGCGAAGAGAGAATTTTTTACATGTACATACTTGACTTTACTTTCAAAACGAACGAAATAGAGACGTTTCTTTTTTTAATATTTTTATTGAAGTCAATTACAACCACCATCGCCTTCAGACTATCTCCTCCTATGTCACAAGTGTCTACATACTTAATATGCGTATGCATATTTATGTATAATTCGGTCAGATATCTTGGCAAGAGTAAAACTAGTGTACACATATATCATAAAAAATATATATTATCGTTTTAATCAGCTGAGAATAGTAGAGTAATATGACTAGTATGTTAACGTTAATCAGAATAGAATAAAATTTATAAAAGTTATAGTTGGAAAAACATTTAAAAGAAATTATACACTTTTTGTCCATTATACTATTCAGAATCGATAAATAACAGACGGATATAGAAGGGTGTCCACTTTTCTCAAGTAATTGAAAACATTTTTTGTTATTTTTTCATTCTATAATTCAAACAACTATCTTTTAAATATCGATTTCACACTAATATGAAAAGAAATTCTATTTTGTATCTAGTCAATTGTCATTTGTAGCGTTAATTATACTCACTTTTAAAAGACTCATCATCCGAAACGAAGTGGAACAATGTAGTTAAAAGAAAAAAAAAATGATTATATAAGTTTTTTTTTCGACAGAAAACCGTATGATACCACCTGTTGTTTCAAAAATCGTTATATAATCTGATATATAAAAGTAATTTTCTTTCTGTTTTTTTTCTCATAAAGCACAAAAAAAAAGAAAACGAAGTACATTTGTCGTAGAAATGAATTATAATAACCCGATAAGACTGAACAGTAGTTATGAAATATAAAAAGAAGAAAACAAAGAAATCAGCTCAATTTTACACATCGAATAGTAGAGAAAGAACCAATAGAAATTTCGAAATTGATACTTGAAAAGTTTCAATTTAAAATTAAAGTTCATGAACAAAATAGAGTGATCATCAAGGCTGTGGTTATACAAATAACTTTAATTAAAATGATCTGCCATGTTTATCAATATTTTAATCTCTCTTCAAATAATTAAGTTTTGTTTTCTTCTCTAGAAACATCATCAATGTAGGAGATCGGAAAAAAACAAAAAAAATCTTTAATTTTTTACTTACTATTGCGAACAGAAATAAAAAAAGTGATAAAATTCTTACGTTAAAGCGCTACAAATCTTTTTTTAGATAAATTTATGTCTCACTGACTAAGTTTAATTGATATATTAAAATATCAAATAACCTGATCATCATTTTTACTTTTTTGTTGGATAGTGAGTAAATTTTGATTAGATATTGGCACTTCTAGTATTGAGAAAAAGAAAAAAAAAGAACCTAAATTGTCTCGTATTTGATATACTATATGATAAGTGTATATCCAGTCTGAAGTACAAACAAAAGAAAAAGCCAAATGAAATAAGTACAGTCGCTTATTATTCAGTCACGATTCGTTGTCGATGTCGTCTGTTGAATGGGTTGATGTAAAGTTGAACCAACAACAACGATAACAATAGAGTTATTACTAGACAAATAAGTAAATGTCTATAGAATAAATTATTGTTTTCTATATATAAAAAGTCGTTTCTTATTTTCATTAACAATTGAATTGTTTTTCTTTTTAAAACAGTTTTGGATTGAATCATAGTTACTTTGAATTATTCCTTTTTAAAATTAATCAATTATTCTCATATTTTCTGGGAAACAACATCGAATTTTTAACACGAAAAAGTTTATTTCAATACAATTATTTACAAGTTCAAAGAAATATTTAAGAGAATTTTCGATGATCCATTTTCATTATATTCTTGTTGCGATATCCACATGGATTGAAATATTGCTAATGAAGATAGAATAATGTCACCAATTGAAACCGCTTATTTTCTT